AGGGGGTGTGGGTGCAGGAGAGGATGCTGGCCTGGGAGAGGAATTAGGAGGGTGTGCAAGGTCTAGGAGGGAGTGGTGACCAGCAGCAGAGAGTTGGAGGGTGTGGGGGGCGGGAGGTGCCAGAGGCAGGCTCTGTACAGGAGGCACTTACCTAGGTGGCTCCTGGCCAGCAGCCCATTAGGACACTCGGGCAGACTCCCTGCTAAGGGAGTCTAGACTCAAAGCAGCTAGCTGTTGCATGTGGCTCTCTGTGTGGGGGCAGGGGCGGGCTTTGTGCACTGCCCCCGCCCCCAGCACAACTTCTCAACCAATGGGAGCCAAGAGATTGTGCTGAGGGCAGGAGCAGCATGTGAAGCCTTCCTCCCCCACTCTGTGTGCAGACAGCAGGCTGCATTGAAAGTCTTGGCGGGCTGCATCCAACATAGTTTTAAAAGCCTCAATGTCCATGTGAAGTGGATAAGCGTGAGGGAATGTCTGTGTGGTACCACAACAAAAAGTTGTTGTTGGTTGGCAAACTTGTTCTGTGTTGGATTGCCTACCTGTAAAAAATGAGGACCATTCTACTTTCGTACCTCGCAGTACTGTGATGAACATAAATTCATTGGCCCTATAGTGCATGGATGCCATGCTGACGAAGGCCGTCTAAGTATGGGGTAGAAAGTTTTCCTTTTTCTCTCTGCCCTTTCAGTGGCTCTGAAACTGTCTGATTGCACATTCACTGTGATGTTTGATGTTTGCTGCAGATGTTTCCTGGGTGCAATGGAAGAAGTGGTGATACAAATGCGGAGGGAAGGGTTTTTGTGTGTTGTTTTTTGAGGGTGGGGGCTAATTTAGCATAAATGCACAAAGATACACAAAGACAGCAGCTGGTAGCTCTTGCTTAATGGATTTTTATTCTTTTTTGCCCTCTGCTTATCTCCAGTGAAGTGAGATTAGCTAGGATGGATAGAACTACTGACTTTGAGATCTTGTTGCGACTCAGTGCCCACTCACCAGTGAAAATACTGTCAGGATGAGACTTCTAGTTTGCTTTGATGCTGTGCTCGCTCCTTGATCTTTCTGAACTCAGTTGCTGTGAAGTTGAATTTCAGTTCAAATTCTGTAAAGAACAGCACTGCACAGACTTTGGAGTTCAATTTTGAAGTCCTCTGACCACAAAAGAAGAGATTTTTTGGATCCACTGCTCTGAGCCTTCTTGTTCCTAGACTCCACCCCGTTATTTCTGCCCATGCATTGGGATGACAGGGTGAGGCGGGTGCTATGAATACTGCAAAAAGGGGAGGGCAGTTTTGCATTGGGGATTGTGGAAGGAAGCTCGCCTTTCATCATCTGTAATTATGGTTATAACCTGTGTCATTAACTTTCCAAATTGGAGGCTTAGAAGGATTTAAAGGAAATACTTAGTGGAAACTTGAGACCAATGAGATGTTAACAAAAAACCAGGCCTCTGCTATAAACAAATTAGTTTGCATGGGCTGAAAGCTCCTGTAGAGGCCTGGAAGACTGAGGTGGATGAAGCCCATGCATTTGCACACTCGCCCGCCTGCTTGTATGTTGTAAGACAGCGCTATGGAGGCTTTCAGTCGAGTGCAGGGGTGGGCAATAATTTTTGGCTAGGGGCTACTTCAAAAATTTTTGAAGTGGTCCTGGGTTGCCCCGGAATGGGTGGGGCCAGGATGCTTTGGGGATTCCCCACCCACAGACCATGAATGGTCTAGAGGTGGGAGAGCCCCTTTGCCCCTCCCTTCCCACTAAGCACCCATGCACCTGGCAGGGCGGGAAGAGGCTTCGCACGCTCCCCCAGCCCCAGGCCAATCAGAGCGTAGGGGCAGGAGAGCGCACGAAGCTTCCGCCGCCCTAGTGCCATGCACGCCTGGCAGGGCGGGAGGTGGCTTCCCATACTCCCCTGCCTCCAGGCCAATCACTTACAAAAGTGCCACGTGCTTCTAGCAGGGCGGAGGAAACTTCATGCACTCCCCCGCCCCCAAGACCCTAATTGGCCTGAGGGCGGGGGAACGGCAGGACCTCTGCGGGCTGGATCAACCTACTTGGCAGTCTGGATCCGACCCATAGAGGCTCTTTTGACCACCCCTACTCTTGTGTGTGTGAGTGAGTGAGAGAGAGAGAGAGATTGAAAAGACGAAATTAACTCTTGTCATTTTGCTCCCTGGATCTTGATGAGACTCTTGTGTTTTTTGTAATGCTTTTAGCTTGTGTTTTATTGCTTGAGTTCTGTTCCCTACTGCTGGAGTTGTGGGGGTGGAACTACACAATGTCCCTCCTTGCCTAGTTGAATTAGTTTCTCATTAATGAAGTGGACTTTTTAACCCACTGCATGGCTCCTTAAATATAACTCGACATTGCAGTCATTCTCTTCCCACTTCATGCTGTCGTCTTTGTGGAGACATGGGTGGGCCAAGCAGACTGCGATATGATTCTTTGCAAAACTTTTGTTTGGTAGGTTTGTATATGTGCCAAGTTTTGCAAGTAACAATTTCTACCTTGCTGAATTGGCTAGTTGGGGACTATTAACAGTACCACGTGACTAACATGTTACTGACCTAACACAAACTGTGCTGCTGTCGCAATCAAATATGCAATTTGAAACTTGCATTCAGAAGTCACGTGATAGCCTTTCTGGTCTTGGATGGGTCGATTTTATGTGACAGTATGAGAATTAGGAACGTTTGTGATTTCGGAACCATTCGCAGACGAGCAAGCAATCAAAGAAATCTGGGGGAGGGGGGAATTTTTCAGGGAAAACTTTCCAACGGGGGGAAAAAAGGTGAAACAAATAAAATTCAGTACACTGGAATTAATAATGTGGGTGAAAGCCAAATGACGGAAGCAGCATCTTAGGACTCACATCTAGGGATGTAAAATCCCGTTTAATTGGTTAAACGTTATGTTAAACCAGTTAACCGATTTAAGCTGGAGCAGTGTGTGTGGGGGGGGGAGGGGCTGCTCCAGTAAGCATCACAGGGTTAACCATTTACATCTCTACTGTCATCCCCACTTTTTTTTCCCATACGTTAGTGCATACATTAGTGTTTGAGTCCTCCGATTATAAAACCTATAAATGTCACACACAGATGGTCACGGTGCAACAGTCCATTACTGCTATTGTCAAAGAAGGATTTAAAAAAAAAAAACACAGTAGATCACTCAGCCAATTGAGTCATCTAACTTGACTGAGCATAAGAACATAAGAATATAAGAACGGCCGTACTAGGTCAGACCAAAGGTCCATCTAGCAGAGTATCCTGTCTACCGACAGTGGCCAACACCAGGTGCCCCAGAGAGGGTGGACCGAAGACAATGATCAAGCGATTTGTCTCCTGCCATCCCTCTGCAGCCTCTGACAAACAGAGGCCAAGGACACCATTTTATCCCCTGGCTAATAGCCTTTTATGGACCTAGCCTCCATGAAATGATCTAGCTTCTCTTTAAACTCTATTATAGTCCTAGCCTTCACAGCCTCCTCTGGCAAGGAGTTCCACAGGTTAACTACACGCTGTGTGAAGAAGAACGTTCTTTTATTAGTTTTAAACCTGCTCCCCGAGCAATCTTAAAGCATCATACAGTGGTCACAAACGAGATGAGCATTCAAAGACACTAAAAGTAGCGAGGAACCAAACTAAGAGAACATCCCGCACTGGGAGTGACTTGTTGTGTTCATCTGTTGTTTTTTTTTTTAATTCCTCGCTGTGGTTCCCTGTTTAGTGACCTGCCTCTGATTTGATCCACAAACTTCATTTCAGGTTGGATCACAAGAACAGCAGCTGTCAGCTGGGAATGTGCTAGGGGTTCTGTTTTTCTAGCATGTCAATTAGCTGTAGAGTCAGTGCATTGGAGCAAGGTGGGGGAGGAGTAAAGAGCTATTTGGATTGGTTGCCAATAGTTTGTCCTGAAAAAAAAAATCGTTTCTTGGTCTCACTGCTTTTTTCATGTCACTTATACGTACTGTAACTATATGGGGTGTGTGCACATGTAGTAAAATACACACATGATCAATATAATGTCCGAGGCTTGCACGGGGACCCACAGAATAGATTCAAAAGAGCATTAGTTGCAAAGTCAGTAATAGATGTTGATGTCGCTTTTTAGCGTAACTTGTGCTCGATTTAGCACAGTGGTCTCCAACCTTTTAAAGCACGAAATCACTTTCTGAATTTGTTAGTCCAGAATATACCTCAATACGCACATACGTAGAGCCCTGCATGGATACACCATTTTGCTCACGCATCCCCGCAGAAGCGAGCTGTGGATATCTGCATCCACCTCCGTAGCTGAGGATACCCGTGGATATTTGTGGATTTGTAGGGTTCTGCAAATACTGTTGCTGTGCCTCCTTCCCCACCTCTTCTCCAAGACCCTGCTCCTACCCCACCCTTTCTCTGAAGCCCCTCTCTGCATACTCTGTGGAGATGCAGTATGGGGGTGGGGAACACCCTGACATCCGTGCTCTCCACTTCTGCCTCCCCCACCCTTCAGAGTAAGCAGAAAGCTCCTCTGGGTGCATGGATGTGTGTGTGGCAATTCCAAGGCAGAGGGCAGGAGCAGCCCAGCAGTTGCAGGAGCTGAAGTATTGGCGTTTGAGAGCTTCCCAGCCAAACCAGTCAGTCTCACCTGTTATGGGCTCCAAGATCCACCAATAGATCCCGATCTACTGGTGGGTGACCCCTGACGTAGAGCTTGAAAAGGAAACATCCAGCTCTTCAATTGTTCAGACCACACGACGTGTGAAAATGCCCTTGAGTTTCAAATTTTGGTTTCCAAATGGCCTCCGTTGAAGGCGTTTTCTTGAGAGCACATGCTCCTTAGTGGAACAGTAGGCAACCTGTTTGTATTCAAATGCTCGGTAAACGAACGCGTCTCCTCACTAGGTAGTGCCGGTGTTCTTATAGACTTCTTGTTGCATGTGAATTTGATTAATGTCCGCAGTAAATGATTATTACAGAATTACAGCCGTGTCTCTCTTTCTCTCCCTCTTTTTGCAGTTTCTCTGTTTGAAGAATATTCGAACATTCCTAAAAGTCTGTCATGACAAGTTTGGGTTAAGGAACAGCGAGCTGTTTGACCCCTTTGACCTCTTCGACGTGCGGGATTTCGGAAAGGTACAAATTTTATTCCTAATCTGGGTCAAAAAAAAAAGGGGGGGGGATTGGGAGTGTTCAAAAACACTCAGCCCAACATTGGGCAGGATATACCGCCTGGATCACGCACGCCTTGTTTAACTCTGCATGGCATTGTCTCCCCGCCCCTGGTGGTGGCTGGGTCTCGCAGTCTATGAGTCTGCTGCATCCTGGACTAGCAGAGGTGGCTCTTTACACAGCCTGACTGAGCCCGAGAACCTCATGTTGCAGAACTGCTGCCACTTCTCTGACCCGAAACTGGTCGGAACCAAGTATTTCTTGCAGTCTCGTTTATGTACAAGGAATGTTCTTGGTCTCTGAATGCAGAAAGAACCAAGAACAAAAAGAAGCAGTTCCTTAGCTTACAGCCCCGGAAGCCCGAGGGTCATACGACACTCAGAGGTTACTGTTTGGTTTTCTTGCCTCTTCTCCCCCTTCCCCCCAGTCTTGTCTATTCCTGGCTTCTTTCTGTGTGTTCTTGGACAGACCTGCACCTACCTGGACACAGTCCCCAGTCAACCCCTCTCCCCCATGGGGCTAGTTTCTGGGTTTTGTTTTAGGCATTATCCTTTACCTGTGTCTTAGGGCACATCTAGACTTGCTTTCACTTTCGAAAGAAGATATGCAAATTCACACCGAATTGGCATATCTTCTTCTGATCGCTTTTTCAAAAGAGGTTCGAAAGAGGTTCTTTCGAAAAAATAAAGTAGTCTAGGGGGTTCTTTCGAGGAAAAAACCCCTTTCAAAAGAACCGTTCTTCCTAAAAAAATGAGGTTTACCCGGTTCTTTCGAAAAAGGGTTTTTTCTCGAAAGAACCGCATCTAGACGACTTTCTTTTTCAAAAGAGCCTCTTTCGAAAAAGTGATCCGAAGAAGATATGTGATCTTCTTTCGACAGTGAAAGCAAGTCTAGACGTGCCCTTAGGGCTATCTATTGGAGTTTTACTGTACATGTAGTGCCCCATCTCAGCTGAGGCCTCTAGTGCACTTATAATGCAATAACCAAATATGAAGTAGAGAGCGAGACACACCAGCTTGTTTCCATGATAGTAAGTAAATTGCAGGTGTGAGCTAGCAAATCCCTTAGGTGCTTTTGAAAAACGTGCCCAGAGGCTTTTCCGGCCAGCCACTGCCCGTCAATAATTTTGTGTTATTTGTGCCGCGTGTCGCATAGACGAGAGAGCGAAGGAAGCGTTTCATTTTTCTTTGTTTAATGGCAGCACTGAATTCTGGATGAAACCTAGCTGGAAGGGAGCTTCTCCATAGCTTTGACAGGAGAGTGTCTGTCTGGTGTCCTTTTTGCTAGAATTGGATGGCATGAGCACTGTAATGCTACTTTGATGGATAGTGGGTCTAGGAAAGCCTACGCACATAAGGCAGTATATTCTATTCTTCGGGTGATATTGTGTTAATAAGTCACTCCGGTCTTTTCGGAGCTCTGCATTACTTTATCTCTTTTGAGCTGCAAGGCATACACTATATATGAAGGCATCCACTTTTCTGATTATCTGAAGAGTAGCTTTCCACTGGCTGATGGGGAAAGATTATATGGTATTTATTGCCTAATTTATTTTGGGGAACTATTATGGGGCCGTTGCAATTGAAGGAGTTTGTTTTATGAGTGTGTGATTTATGAAACACAAGGGGACTCATTTTGAGACTCCAGAGACCTAGAAACCAGGCCAGGGAAAGAACTGTTGTACAGAATGATGTTTGCTTTCATGTTTTGTTGCCGTTTATGGTACCGAATGGCTCAGCAAAGTTATTCATTGGGAATGGTTTTTAACCCTTTGAGACTGTATGATCGGAACATCATCCCATTGCTTTTGCATTTCACTTACAGACTAGCTGTGACTGGTCTCTAGAACACAATTCTGCCTCTGCTCAAAGCAAATCAGAAGTTAATCCACATGGGAAAGTTGTATAAAGTCACGTTCTGTTTTGAATCACAATTGTATCGCTTCTGTGGGAGCAAAGGAGTCTTTAATTTAGCTCTCCATTGGCCAAATGCAGACTTCATACACACAAAATTCTTCTTGCAGCCCATGCATTACTTAGATCAATAACACTTTTCAGTTACAGGATACTTATGCCATGTAAGAGCCTGTTATATACAATGCAGACTAATGGTTGACCATTTAATTATACGGTAAGCACAGAGTAACTGCACAGGGTGTTTCCATTTTCAGATATCACTTATAGCTATTTCTGTCCTCCAAAGGAGGAGGCCAGTTAGGTAGTAATTACTAATAACTCATGGCTCTTGCTGAAAGGTAATTATCAAGTAAAAAGGCTGGGGCATGCAGTTATTCTGAATTTACTTGTTGACCTTTATAGGCTACCTGAAAATAAAGGGGCATTACTACCATTTAGTATGTGCAGGAGGTTTCAGATTTTCAGATGGATGTCTGGGTTCTTTACAATAAGAAAAATGCTTAAAGAACCCCCCCCCCCCCCCCCCCCCCAAAAGGAACAGGCTACATTTCCCAAAACGGAAACTTTGTTCCTTCAGCATTAGGGAGCCAGATCTTCAGCTGGTCTGTAGATTGGGTAGAGTGACAGCTGATTTTACATCAGCTGATTTATTGATGTGTCCATTTTCCTCTTAGCTCATCGTCTCTGAGACCGAGTGACCTCCACTGGGCATCCGTGCCTTGGATTTGCATTGTAATGACCTTGGAGGGCCAGATGCTTGGACTTAGTGCATATGGAGAGGCTTCAGCCCCTGTCTCTACCACTGTAATCCTGAGGGCTAGTCCCTGGCAAGAATTAGAACATCCTCAGGGCTGCTTTAAATGCGCTGGAGAGAATGGTCCCCTGGAGGATTTTTCTTCAGTCCAGGATCTCTCTGGTTTTATGCTACTTCAGAGTGCATGGGATTTCTTAGCTGCCCAGCTTTCCATCTACCTGTACCCCTCTTCTACCACGCTGTTCTACCCCCTTTCCCAGGCTGACTTAGAGGGGAAGATGCAGCATAATCTGGTGGTTAAAAGTGCAACATTGCAAGTAAGGTGTTTGTCTCGTATTTGCCATTCGTTTGCAGTTGGACCTTGGTTGAATCCTAGGGTTGCCAGGTGTTCGGTTTTTGCCTGGAGAGTGTGGTATTCAGGTCTCCCGTCCAGTAAACCCCCCCTCCCCCCCAGAAAATACCGGTATTTCCTGTTTCCCTTGGATTGAAGCCTGGCAGGGACGGTTTTCCCCTTTTGCATCTGGCAGGGGCAGGGGAGTGAGGCGCACGGGGCCATTTAAAGGCGCAGTGACCTTTTTTTCTGCTTAACAATTTTGGTCTCTTCCTCCCCTGCCCCTCCTCCCCCCCTTTTTTTGCTCAACCAAGTTTGCCATGTTCAGGATTTTTGTTGAAAGCATCTGGCAAGTCTAGCGAGTCACTTCTCTGCTAGTGTTGGTGGCCTGTCGTGCAGGTGGCTGCAGTTTGATGCTGCCAGACGGTTTTGGGATTCGAAGGCAAGAACAGCTGCAGAAGGGGAGAGTTCTGTCCCTGCCATGGGGGGGTGCTGGAATGCAGGGTGTAGGCAACAAATGTGTATTTGTCTTGGCTGTTTCATAGTTTTTCTTGCCCTGTGTCATAATTATCCGAAAGAATAGCTTTCAATCAGGGGGCCTGTTTACTTCTGGTGCTATCCCCTGCCTGCGTTTAGACCCTGCTGTTAAGAAATAATGTTGTGACGGTGACATGCCAAGATCCTGGCTGAGATTCTCAAAAGTGGCCAATGGTTTTGGGTGTCTGAATTTCGGGGGGCCTGACTTGAGATGCTTTTGAAAAGGCCTGTTTTTCTGAGGGCTGGTGCTCAGCACCTTCTGTATAATCGGGCCCCTTCAATGTGTCTTAAGTTGAACCTGCCAAATCAAAAATCCCTTCTGAAAAGCTCCGTGTGTGTGACTTCACTGTAGCCACCGTGGGTGAGAGATTGTGAGGAAGAAGCCCTTCTTAGCACACCACGGTCTTCAGTTTAGGGTCAAATTCTGCAATGCACTGAGTTCCTTTAGGGAGACTTTGAGTCCCCTTACCAGTGGCACCATTCAGTCCTTTGCAGAACCCTGTCTGCACTTGCAAAGGGAAGAATAATGATGCCCAAGTCCATTTTGCGGTTGCGCTGGGTGTTTGTCGTATTTAATTTAATGACAGCGATAACATACAGCTTTGCTCTTGCCTAGCTCTTCAATTTGCTGGCACCAGATGTAACGAGATAAGTTGTACATAAATATGGATTAAACGCTTCATCACTCCGAGTCAGCATGGCGGCAGTGAGGTTCATGAAAGGGAGTTACTCACTTTCAGTAACTTCCAGTAATACACTGAGGGTTTATTTTTTGGAGAGAGAGAATTCACTATCCATAAACCTGTGGCGGGTGCTGTTTATTCACTTCCTACTTCTCTCTTCTGAACTCCCAGGCTTGTTTCACTGCCCTGAACTTTCTTCTGAACTTGACAGAATGTTTCAAAGAGCCTTTTTACGTGCTCTGGGTCTCTCATGCTCTGAACTGTGGGCGCTCGGGGATGTGGCTATAAAAATCAAAAGGGGAAGCCTAGTCATAAGGCAACCGGTGTCGACTCGACTGCCACCTGTGACCTAAACCAGTTGTTACGGTGGGTGGTTGCTTCTGGTCTTGAGTCTCAAATCATTTGCTGTCTGCACGGGAATCCCTCGTTCGCAAAGATGGGCCTTAGCCACAAAACTTGGATCTGGACTTTGACTCTTCCAAGTCTTTGGAGGAGTGTTGGGATGCAAGAGTTGATCTCAGCAACTAGTCTTCACTTGCTGCTAATGCAGGGGTGGGCAATAATTTTAGATGGGGGGGCACTTCACTAATTTTTTAAGTGGCCCTGGGCTGCTCTGGAAGGAACAGGGTCAGGATATTTCCTGCTCTCCCTTCCACAGACCCTGGTTGGCCTGGGGTGGGGGAGCACGTGAAACCTTTGCCCCCAGCCTAGAGAGAACTGCCAGCTGTTCAGAATATCTGGTG